CACCTCAGCCTCCCAAAGTGCTGGGATTATAGGCTTGAGCCTCCACGCCGGCCTGTGTCCCCAGCTTTAAATGGCCCCCTGTTCTCATAATCAGTGCTGAGTAGTGGCAAGGAGGAGAAAATGGGAAAGCTGGCATGAGAGAGAAGGCAGATCCAGAAGATAGAATACAGCTGAGGTGAAGGGCCAAAGGTCTCCTGAAATGATTCTTTAAGGCAACTTCTTAGTGTTCGACCGCCTCGTTATTACATTCTTTTTATTTTGCCCCAGCCCAGAAAATATGGCCTAATTTTCTCTTCTGTTATCACAACTGCTTTTCTGCTCAGGTTTCTTCTACCCCTTCAAGATGGCTGAAGAACAAGGTGCTTTCTCTCCATACCTGTGCTGTTTCACTGTGAGTAAAACAAGTATACATCTACTTTCTTTTTTTTTTTCAAAAATGTTATTAATAATAGTGATTGTGGGGAAAGAGGGCATACTACAACATAAATAAGAGGGAAACTACAAGTAATAAGAATTGTTTAAAATTAAAAGTCATTGATTATAGTGATTCTTGGTCATTTTTGAGTCACAAAAGGGGAATGATGCTTATACAGCAGTGATCCATGTGGTTTAGAACTGAAGCAGAAAGATGACATTCATGTGGCCAACGAAAAAAAGCTCAACATCACTGATCATTAGAGAAATGCAAATCAGAACCACAATAAGATACTATCTAATACCAGTCAGAATGGCTATTGTTAAACAGCAAAAAAATAACAGATGCTGGCAAGACTGCAAAGAAAAAGGGATGTTTATACACTGTTGGTGGGAGTATAAATTAGTTTAGCCTTGTGGAAGACACTGTGGTGATTCCTCAAAGACCTGAAGACAGAAATGCCACTCAGCCCAGCAATCCCATTACTGGATATATTCCCAAGGAAATACAAATCATTCTATCATAAAGACACATGCGCAAGTAAGTTCATTGCAGTACTATTCACAATAGCGAAGATGTGGAATCAACCTAAATGTCCATCAATAATAGACTGGATAAAGAAAATGTGGTACATATACACCATGGAAAACTGGAGGCATAAGAAAGAACAAGATCACGTTCTTCGCACGGATGTGGATGGAGCTGGAGGCCGTTATCATCAAACTAACACAGGAACAGAAACCGTATTTACTGCATGTTCTCACTGATAAGTGGGAGCTAAATGATCAAAACACACGGACCCAAAGAAGGGAAAAACAGACGCTGTGTCCTACTGGAGGGGAGAGGGTGGGAGGAGGGAGAGGATCAGGAAAGATAACTAATGGGTACAAGGCTTAATACCTGGGTGATGAAATCATCTGTATAACAAACCCCCGTGACACAGGTTTACTTATATAACAAATCTGCACATGTACTTCTAAACTTAAAATAAAAGTTTAAAAAGTGGGCACATACCCCTCATACAGATATATTTTAATATATAATCTTCATATATATGACTACACTCATAGCACATATTACAAAGCGCACAAAAAAAGATCAAGTACTTTGAGAAAGTAAGAAAGTACGCACAACAATGACAACCTTCATAATAAGTCTTCATAATAGCACATGATAGCCTAGCATCTTTTGCTTACAGTGTGAGGTTGGTTTTGTATTATTACTGTAAAGTACAATGGTGGCTCATATTTGCGGACTAGAACTATCTCAAGTTGCTATGATGCTCAATTGAGTTAACAAGAGTTCATAATCAATTAACCTAAGCTTGATGATGGCAACTGAATTTCCAGGTATACAAATAAACTTGAGAGTGAAGTGTAGTTCCTAGAAACTATACTGATCTCTGTTTTTATCTGCAGAATGGTGTATTATTTGAAAATGCGAGGGAATACATCTTTTCAGCCTAATTTTTCTTATAAATAAAATTACCATTTTAGCATTGGTAATTTCTTACCAGTGAGTAAAGTTTTAATTACTCATAAAAAAGTTTTATGAGAGGCAAAAAGAGAAACTGAAGCAGAGTCACAGTTAAAAAAACCATAATTATTAGGTAATGTATATTTAATAAACATAAACATACAAAATAACCTCAACTTCATCAGTATTTCTCTTTTGCCTTTTAAGTTTTTGTTTACTTATATGTGTACAGATGTAAGAGGCACAAGTACAGTTTTATTACACAGATAGACTGTATGGTGTTCATTAGTAATTCTTAGTCATTTTAAAGGAGAAATATGGTTATCTGTGATACTTCCTATATCCATATGGATTTTTTTCCTTTTCTCGTCTGCTCCCACATATGCTACAAATGTTCCCAGCCCTTTTCCCTTGATTCCCAAAATAAATTCCACAAATACCTAAGCCCAGGAACTATTTTTAATTTCATATACATTTTATGTAAAGGAACTGCGTCCTTCCATCCCTGGGCCACTTTCTGGATTTTGCTCTTCGCTACCTAATTTTTCACCAAAAACACACCACCACCACTACCACCAAAACACTGCTGTGGAATAATAGGAGTCTCCTCAAAGGGCATTGGAGGGAAAGGAACTGTCTGGCAAACTATAAGGCACTGGTTCTAGTGTACTTTCTTGGCATGGAGGAGAAAAATTATAACAACACTTATTTGCTCATATGTTCATGTGATCACAGGAATGAGGCCTGACCTGTCATAATCCCCAGCCTAATTTCTGCCTCTACTTTTGTCTAAAACAGAGAAGCCCAACTGTCTGGTGGGCAGTTCCCATTGAGAGCACTCTTCCTCCGTAACCTGATTCTTAGCATTATCCTGGGGCTCTAGCATCTACCTGTTCTTGGGACCCAACTCCTAGTGCAGATCTTTCAGCTGGGAGTCCTGGGTCTTCCACAGCTTTTTGGAATTATAACAGTCATGGTAATAACAATATTGGCACGGTGGTTACGGATAACCTTCATAGGACACTCTCTCTGTGCCTGGTGCTGTCATAAATATTTAACATTGATTGTCTCCTCTGATTTCAAATTCCTAAGAGAAGAATATTTTTAGTTATCTACTGCTGCCTAAAAAATTGCCACAAAACTTACATATTTTAAAAATACACTTTTTTAAAACTTTTGACCTCTTTTATTTGTTAAAAGAGGCACATCCATATACATGAAATGATTTCATCATAATGCATTCACTAATTATGCCTCTTGCCATCTTGTGGCATCCAGGATCCGGGCTGAAACATTTTATCCAACATTGCATTACATTATCTAACATTCCTAACATGGGTTAATTCATAATTCATAACATTATCTAACATTCTTGACATGGGTCAGGAATCTGAGTTGACTTACCGTGGTCTTCTACTTCAGGGTCACTCAGTCAAAGTGACTTTTGGGAGTAGAGTTGTCTCAAGACTCAGCGGGACGAGGAATTTGATTCCAAGCTCATGTGGTCAGTGACAGGACGCAGTTCCTCATGGGCTGATGGACTAAGGGCCTCAGTTCTTCACTGACTGTTGGCCAGAACCTGTCCTCAATTCCTTGGCTCATGGGCCTTTCCAATATGGCAGCTTCCTTCTTCAAAGGGCGCAAGCCAAGAGGGCAATAGAGTCTGTTAGAAAGATGGTAATCACAATCTTTTGTAACCTAATCATGGAAGGAATTTCCTATCTATCACCTTTACCATATGCTATTGATTAGAATCAAGTCACTAGGTCCAGCCTACCCTCAGGGGAGAGGATTACTTACACAAGGACATGAATATCAGGAGGTGGAATCCTTAGGGATCATCTTAGAAATCTTCTATTTCAAGACAGGTTGGGGAAAGAGGGAATAAGAGCTGTTTTAATATTACAAAGACAATATCAAGATTAGAAGATAAGGTAGTCAAAATTGAAGCTAATAAAGGTGAGGGCTGAGGGTTGGAATGGAGAAGTACCTTACATAGTTTTTGATCTATAGTGTCTTTCTCTCTAACACCCATGTCTCCCAGCCCTAACACGAAGGTAGAGATAAGGAGACGGTGGGTATGAGACTAAAGGGTATATGAGGGATTACTGGAACATGCACAAAAAACTGCTTCTTTTCTTGGGAAAGTAAATGGAAAATAATGCTAATGGAGTAGTGGAGAGGAGCTGAAGATAAGCTGTCTGAGCAAAAGCGACCCAGGGTTTCTATGGGGAGGAGGCTTTTGGCAGGGACATGCTACAGTATCAAATAAAAAAAGGGCAGAGCCACGGCATAAACCAAATCTGAAATAAGCTATCCACAATCAAAGACAGTCAGGCTAAAGAAAACAAATTCCAGCCAGAAAACAGAAGGCTGGTTCTGGAAAGACTTTTTGAGGAAATGCTACATAAAGCAGAGGTGTGGAGGAGAGGACAGGGATTTTTAGCAGCATCTTCTAAAACGAATTCTATTTCATATGTACTTTATGAAAGGGGAAAAGACTGCAGGAATTTCAGAGCCCAGAAATCCACCAAATTCCCAAAGCTCTGTCTATTATAATCCTTCTCTCCAGCACTCTCCTCCCCCTCCCACTCAAGTTCTTCATCTTGTCAACAGAACAAGAATCACGGAGTTCACATTCTGAACTTTTGTCTTGCAAATTTTCCAGTATCATAGTGTGGGGGCAATAAGTGGGGATTCGTTGAGGGAGGCAAGACAAACATGTGAACAACCTTGAAGAAACGCCTTTTTAGTACAGAGAAAGAGAGAAGGAATCAGGAAAGGATTCCTTACCAAACCACAAAGAAGACAGTTTCTTCAAGGAACGCTGACTTCTGCAGCTTTTAGAGGGGAATTGCTCTCCGTGGGGATTAAGAGACCAGTGCCTTTTAATCAAAGGAGGGCCAAACGTTCAAATAACTGGGAACAGCTGAGTAACCCACCCAACTCTGAAGAGCAAAACAAGAGCTACAAGAAGCCACTCTTCCCTGCAGTATACAATACTATGTTTTTTGGCTTATTCTCCAAGGATATTACAGTTACTTTCAATGGTTAATGAATAGCTTCTAAGTGCCTGCTTCATTTAATTGTCCAAAGGCCAGTGGGTCCCAGAGCGTATAAAGCTGCAAGCTGGCTAATGAGCTCGTTCTCTTGGAGCAAGCGGGGAAGCAGAGGAGTGGCAGGGGGTGCTGGGTTCCTAAGGTGCAAGGATGCAGAACAGAAGTGGCCTCCTTCTCTGTGTTCTTGCCCTCCTGATGGGTTTCCTGATGGTCTGCCTGGGGGCCTTCTTCATTTCCTGGAGCTCCATATTCAGCTGTCAGGAGAGCCTGATTATGGCCTATTTGCTCCTGCCTCTGGGGTTTGTGATCCTTCTGAGTGGAATTTTCTGGAGCAACTACCGCCAGGTGACTGAAAGCAAAGAAGTGTTCAGGCATGTGCTGGGACAACACCTGGCTCATGGGGCCCTGCCCCTGGCCACCGTGGACAGGTACGTGCTGACAGGCAGAGAGACCAAGGAGAGCTGAGATGGGCTGATTTGCTTAAGATCTGAGTAATTTCTGGTCCTACTATGGAGTGACTTACATGTCCCATGGGTTGTCTACCTAGAACCAAAGGTTTATTTTCAGGGAATTACTCTGATGTTGTTACTAGGAAGAATGGCACCATCTTGGGGGAAAACCATGATGTAGGGGCAACTCATCTCAGAGAAATCCTACCACCACCTTCAGTGAAAACCCACCTAAGCCAATTCAGAAACCCAGGCCCTTTTGTTATATCTTGGCAGCTGTCACTAATTAGTGCCAGGTGATGGTTAGTTACTTCCCATAACCTGGCTCTAAGGTTCTAAGGAAAGTAAGTCCCAGACAAAATTCTGTCACACAACAAATGAGCAAGCAGGCATAAATTGAGTCCTGGCACCTCTGTGAGCTCAGAGAAGTCCCAGTTTATTGTCCTTTTAGGTGTTGTGATCTCATCTTGCATAAACACATTCCTCCAGGGGAAGGTGATAATATTCTAGGGGTAAGATTCATTCCATCTCGCCACCTCACACATTAGGCTAGTTGTCATCAAAAAAACAGCAAGTGTTGGTGAGGATGTCAAGAAATTGGAACCCTGCGTATTGCTGGTGGGAATGTTAAAATGGTGCAACCACTGTGGAAAACAGTGTGGAGATTCCTCTATACATTAAATATAGAATTATCATTTCATCCAGCAATTCTACATTCTGAGTTTATACACAAAAGAACTGAAAGCAGGGACTCAAGTGGATACTTGTACACCAACGCTTGTAGCAACATTATTCACAATAGCCCAAAGGTGGAGATATCCCAAATGTCTATCAGCGGGTGAGGAGATAAACAAAATGTGGTATATACATGCAATGGAATATTAGCCTTAAAAAGAAAGGAAATCCTGGTTCATGCTACCAATTGGATGAGCTTGAAAACATTATGCTAAGTGAAACAAGTCAGTCACAAAGGGCAAATCTTGTACGATTCCACGTATATGAGTACTTAGTCAAATTCATAGACACAGAAAGTAGAACAGTGGTCCCAGGGACTGGTGGAAGGAGAGACTGGGGACTTACTGTTTAATGAGTAGAGAGTTTTAAGGTGATGGTTGTAGAGCAATATGAGTGTATTTAGTGCCACTGAACCATACACTTAAAAACAGTAAATTTTAGGTTATATATATTTTACCGCAAGAAAAAAAAGATTCAATTAATCTTATAGTCAGTTATCAGGCAATAAGAAACCTCCTAATTCTTGGCTAAACACAGGACTATTTAGGGATAAAACCCTAGGCATCATTCTTAAGATACAGGCTATGAGACTGTAAATTATTTTGCCCTGTTCATGCAAGAGCAGAAAGTATCTAAAATATTTTAGCTACTCCATGTATTTTGAATATAAGTAATCTTACCCATGAGGGTCCACTTTTGACATCCTTTATGCTAATCAATGAGATAAGAATTATGATAACCAAAACTTATTTCCAATGTTATTATACTAGCCAGCAGAGTTTCTGGATTTGATTAAAAATTAAGATAAATGAAGTGATTATAGAAGATGCCTCTAGAGTGATGATTTCTTTTTTGTATAAATGTTTGAGGACTACCTCTAGAATGTGAATTCCTGATAAATGTAACTGATTGCCTTTTGGATATAGTTTAAATCAACTAACACATGCATAATATTACGGTATGCTGAAACATTTGAAAGTAAATTATGGACATTGTGACACCCCCATTTTACTGCCTCTTCCTGCTGCACGTAACTAGATGCTCATTCCATGCTAGTAAGTCAGCCTGGGAAGTCACATTTCTCCAAAGCATTTGCACTCAAAATGGATACCCAGGTTGAGATATCAAAGCCAATGGGTCTCTAGTGATGGAATTCAGACGTCTGGGAATGTGGATGGCAGTTGAAGGAGGGTGGGGTTGAGCGAGGTTGTTGGAATTTGGGGAAGGCAGCAGTCATCCTGGAACCTTTTAAATCACATCAGGGAACAGCTCACCTTTCTGTGTAAAATGCCTTTACACATGTGCCCCATGACTCAGCCTTGGCTATTCTGAGTGAAGGCTGAGATTTATGCCTTACAGTAGGCAGCTTCAGCTATTGGCTTTGGGCCTGGTGACATTTGGAATGGAGTTGTGGCTACAAATGGCAGGCCCTGTTCTGTTGTGGTTACACACCATAAACACTCCCTGTAGGCACTGGAAGGACTCGATCTATAAATACACAACTCAAGCAAGCTCACCAGTCTCTCTTCCTCCCCTCTCCCCTTCTCCCAATCTCATTCATGATGGAGAAGCCAGAGGATTTAGCAATTAGCAATGCTGTGCAAGATGACCAATGAGTATATCAGCCCCCGAATGAATGGCTGCTTTAGCCTATTGACATAGAAAGGGCTGCACCTGAAATCTGCATTAAGTTGTCAGTTGATATCATTGAGAAATGAGTATGTTTGTATGTTTTTTTGAAATTAGCTACTGAGTCTTGAAAGGGTGTTAGGATAGAGTCATGGCATATGGTATAGTTCAGGGATCAGCACAAGGTTGGTTTTCATTCATGATTTTGTTGGCTGTGATGATAAGAGAAAGTGAGGGCAATGGAAGGAATGATACCATGTGAGAATGGGAGCAAGGACGTGGATGGACTAAGTACTCGATAGAGTGAAGTTTCCAATCCAAAGTCCCACATCCTCTACTGTTGACAAGGATCTCACACTGAATGGCCCTGTTTCTATGAGTGAATGAGCAATAGAGAAGGAATAGCTTGGAATAACCGACTGGGAAAAAAATATGACTAGAAGCACGCATCCTGTGGCCGATAAAAAGGTTCTTTTGGAAGAGCAGCATATTTTTAAAAAACTGGTGATGCCAGAAAGAAGTACATCTGTTTCAAAAATCCATGTTTCTTAACAGTTTAGCTTCGCACAATTTGAGCTGAGAGAGGCAGCCGTCTGCCTCTTTGGCATTAATGCCTAAATAACGCATGCCTGTTTGTGCTGTTTTGTTCCACAGGCCAGACTTTTACCCTCCAGCATATGAAGAGAGACTTGAGGGGGAAAAGCAGAGCTGTGCTTCAGAGAGAGAGGCCTCTGGCATTCCTCCACCTCCGTATACAGAGACGGGCCTGGAATTCCAGGATGGAAATTACTCCTACTCAGAGGCCCCACCATCTTACAGAGAGTCCATAGCTGGCCTGGTGGTAACAGCAACTTCAGAGGATGCCCAGAGACGAGACCAAGAGTGCTGAGGCAGAGGAAGCTCTCCAGCACTCCTGACACCTCCGCTGTGGGTAGCAGCTACTGATAACAAAGGCAAACCAGGGACTGTGGGAGGAAAAGCCATGTCAGGAACCCCTCATGAGGGCTTACAGAGGACATGACAGCCCTGAATTACAGATGTAATTGGCCATGCCAGGGGCCCTGGAAGGGTGTGGCCAACACCAAGCAGACATTTCAGAGGATTCACACTACTCCTAACCTCGGTAGGCCTTGGGCCCCCAAAGGTGTTACTCTGAGGGCTCTGCTTACAGAGAATCTTTCTGCTCTCACTCAATTTCCCTCCCATCACCTCAGCTCCAGACAGGGAGGAATTGATGCTGGCTGTCAGGACAGCCACATGCCTTCCTGTACTATATCACCTAATAATCTCAAAGGGAAGGTTTGTTGTTTACTTTATTGATTGTTCAGTCTTTCGTTTTGTTAGCTTGTTTCCTAGTTACCTCCAGCTGACTCCTGAGCGAGGCAGTACTTCACATCCTGGGAGATGCGCCCTTGGAACCCATGAATGTTATTTTGTATTATTTTATTTTCATGATGTGTTTTTTTTCTATCAAAAAGGAAAATGAATGTAATATTTGCCTTCAAGATGGTTCAAACACAAAATGTTAAATGAGTTGTTTTTTAAAAGAGGTCCTTATAAGTAGACATGATAAGATTGCTTATAGACCCAAATGGAAAAGGCAGAATACTTATTCATCATGGAATTCCAGGGTGTAGGGTGGAACTTGTACTGGCCATAGATGGTATTAATATACCGTTTTATATAAATCTTATAAAGTTAAAAAATATTTATATGTAATTCAAAGAATCCCCATATAAATCTCTAGAATTTGAAACATAAGAAATTCTAATGATATATGTTCATCATTAACAGGAAACTTCTTGTGTCTCATGATATAGACCTTGACTTTTAGATTTGGGACATGTATTTTTAAATTCAGTGGTTTCTCTTCAACTTTATTATATTTTGTTGTTTTGTTTTTTAAATACAAGAAGACAAGTCTAGTGGCAGGGTGGTAGAAAGAGATGCAGCCTGATGCTTTTGAACTTGGGCCAAGAATCATCATCTCTCCGGGCCTCAGTTTTCTCCTCTGTCAAGTGAGGCATTCCTGCTGGCTTCATAGTTGTAGAATGCCTGTTATATGGCAGGCTCTGTGTCATGAGCTTTTCATGAGTGTTATTTAGCCCTCAATCCATCTTTAAGAGATAGGTACTATTATTACTCCCATTTTACAGATGTATAAAACTGAGATTTTGAGAAGTTAAGAAACTCTTCCAATAACACAGTGACTTCTAGGAGGATGAAGAAGCATTCCCTACAGGGACATGGGAGGATCTACTTACCTCACACTTTTGAGCTCAGTAGCCCTGTCTTCTTTCCTTCTAGAGAACAGTTTGGATTTCTTTCTCTCTTCAGAAAATGGCCTACCTGATGTCCACACCTACCTGGACATCAAAGTAAATCCCATGCCTTACACTGATCCATGGAACTGTGCATCAAGCTGAGACTTCCTGTGCAGAAAGCTTGCATGTCATGTACAAGCCCTTCAGCCTATGTCACGCAACAAGATTTGTCCCACAAAGACTGTGGATGTATGCTGCACTTAGATCAGTAAGAGCTGATAAAATCTCATTTTAATAATGACTGCCTGTCCGTTTTCAAGGACATTTAATAAACTCAAGAATCCTGGGTGGCGCCAAACAAGTTTTTGTTCTAGGGGACAGGCTGACACCTGGCAGAATGTTTAGTGTTGGGATTTACTCAGGGTGGCTGGCAAAACATTAGGTAAATATTAGGAAAAGTTATAAGATTATAGTCTCAAACCTTTTGGAAGGCTGAACGGTTTTAATGGAATGGGCTGAAGGCAGCCAGTTCATTACATTAGAATTTTAAGTCATAAGGTAAGATTAGAATAATAAAGCTTCCTCAGTTAAGTCTGTTCACCCCACATCCCTTTGTCTCTACTCTGTGTATTCATGTCAACTTTGTGCTGGATGGTCCTCTCAGGGGGAGGTCGAAGGGGAATTACCCATTAATGGTGTTTACTCTAGGCCCCAGAACCAAGACCTTGTATCACTCTTTTGTATGTTTTTATATAAAAAACTGCTCATCATTACTGGTCATTAGAGAAATGCAAATCAAAACCACGTTGAGATACCATCTCACACCGACTGGAATGGAGATCATTAAAAAATCTGGAGACAACAGATGCTGGAGAGGATGTGGAGAAATAGGAACACTTTTACACTATTGGCGGGAGTGTAAATTAGTTCAACCATTGTGGAAGACAGTGTGGCAATTCCTCAAGGACCTAGAAATAGAAATAGCATTTGACCCAGCAATCCCATTTCTGGGTATATACTCAAAGGATTATAAATCGTTCTATTATAAAGATACATGGACACGTATGTTCATTGCAGCACTGTTTACAATAGCAAAGACTTGGAACCAACCCACATGCCCATCAATGATAGACTGGTTAAAGAAAATGTGGCACATATACACCATGGAATACTATGTAGCCATAAAAAAGGATGAGTTCATGTCCTTTGCAGGGACATGGATCAAGCTGGAAACCATTATTCTCAGCAAACAGACACAAGAACAAAAAACCAAACACTGCATATTCTCACTCATAAGTGGGTGTTGAACAACGAGAACACATGAACACAGGGAGGGGAACATCATACACAGGGGCCTGTTGGGGGATGGGGGGACTAGGGGATTTTAGCAGGGGGTGGGAGGATTGAGGAGAGAGAACATTAGGAGAAATACCTAATGTAGATGACGGGGGAATGGATGCAGCAAACCACCATGGCATGTGTATGCCTATGAAACAATCCTGCACAATCTGTACATGTACCCCAGAACTTAAAGTATAATAAAAAAAAATTTTAAACAGTCTTTTAACCATGTTAATTATCCCCAAGTGTGTTGACTTAGAACCTCTGTTATTAAATCTATACTGAATAAATGAGAGGAAGACAAGGAATAGTGGTCAGTTAGCTGCAATTGCCCTCTGAGAGCAGCTGACAAACATCCCTAGCCCACTCAGATTCCCTGTATTCTAGTGTGTGTTAGTGCATTCATTCATCCAGTCATTAAGTCAGGGTCTGCAGGACAGACATCTGCAGGTGACGATCAATGTCTCAGGTGTTGACCCCAACAAGATCAATGTCACAAGTAGTGACCCTGATGTGATCAACATCTCAGGTGGTGACTCAACATGATCAAGGTCTCAGGTGGTGACCCCAGTGTGACACTTGTCACAATTTAGTGTGTCTGGTTCCCTAGTATTGCCACTAAATGCCTCTCTCGCAAATACACACACATTTCCAAACAACCACCCTGGGTAGGTGGTGGTCCTGCCCTGGTTGAAAACTAGCAAGTGATATTTGGTGTTGCTTGCCATTTTTCTGCAGGCACATGGTGTAGTGAGGGAACCCCTCTGTAACAGCAGATCACCAGAGTTACCCTAACAGTTGCCACTCTACCCATAGTTTCCTCTAGGATTGACTCTTGTGGTTCCCATGAAATTTTGGACCTTTAAAGTCATTTACTTTATTTTTCTGAGATGGAGTCTTGCACTGTTACCTGGGATGGAGTGCAAAGGCACGATTTCAGCTCACTGTAACCTCCACCTCCTGGGTTCACTCAACTGTCCCCAAGTAGCTGGGATTACAGGCACATACCACCACACCCGGCTAATTTTTTGTATTTTTAATAGAGACGGGGTTTCACTATGTTGGCCAGACTAGTCTCGAACTCCTGACCTTATGATCTGTCCCCCTTGGCCTCCCAAAGTGTTAGGATTACAGGCTTGAGCCAATGCACCCAGCCAAGTCATTTACTCTTAAAGATCAGTCTATAGCTCCATGTTTGTTTGTTTTTTCTTTTCTCTGTTGCCCAGGCTAGAATACACACTGCTCCATCTCAGCTTATGGCAACCTCCACCCCCTGAGTTCAAGCTATTTTCCTGCCTCAGCCTCCTAAGTAGCTGGGATTACAAGCATGCATTACCATGTCTGGCTAATTTTTGTATTTTTAGTAGAGACAAGGTTTCATCATGTTGGCCAGGCTGGTCTCAAACTCCTGACCTCAAGTGATCCACCCACCTCAGCCTCCTCAGCCTCCCAAAATGCTTGGATGACAGGTGTGAGCTACCACACCTGGCCTAGAGCTTCATCTTTAAGAACATAAAGAACATTGTATGGGGAACAGTGACTTCCTGCCTCTCACCTTTCCTAAGAATTAGGCAAGAGGACATATATGTATAGTTCAGCAAAAGGAGTTTGGAATTCATGTAAGGCTAAAATAATATCTTGGCAATGTGAATCATAGCAGGTTCCAGAGAGTGACTGTGTCCTAGAGCCACAAAGGATCTTCTCTTAAGAACATACTGAACAAAACTCTGTAAAAATAGGCAGCTATGCAGCTGCTTCTTCCAGTGGCTGGGCCCAAGGCTTTGCTCTGCCTGACATTCACAACCTTGTGCTTGCTTCAACCCCATGCATGCAAGCCAACTTCTCAGGAGACCCCAAGCAAGTCTCCTCTCCAGCCATCCTAACCCTCACCTCCTAGTCTGTCTTCTGACTTCACTCACCCTTGATGAAATGATATAAATGCTTATAAATCCCAAGAAACTCTACTCTTGGAGAAACCACTCTTGTGCCACCATCTCTGAGTTTATTGCCCCTCTCTGTGTATTCCCACAGCACATTATTTATGCCTCTCTTGTAACATTTTTGTCTACCTGATTATTTGTGTATGTTTGTCATAGCCTCCTATTCCCAAATTATAAACTCATAAGATCAGGAATAATGTTTTATCCATTTCCCTGCCCCATCTAAAACAGAACTCTGCCTAGATGAGTTGCTCAACCAATGTTCACTGAATGAATGAATGAATGAATGAACACAGGGATGGATGAATGGATGGATTGATGGGTAAATATATATTTGGGCTCCTGGACACACATAACTCCATATCAAAATAAAGAAATATAATTTTTGTGTAAGGACTAATTTACATTTGAACTTACAAGTTAGAGATAATTAGAAGTTCAGCAATTTGAGAAAATAAATAAATATTTTCTCCCCTAGAGCTGATACACCTAAGAATACATCTTAGTGTCCCAACCAACACATCCATGATTAATGAACACGTGGATGGCTAGCATAGACGTCCACTCATGAGACAATAACCTGAGAACCAAAGCTATGATGCTAATTTTATTCCATTGGTGATCAATCTGGAAATTGTTTTCTTTCTTTCTTTTTTTTTTTTTTTAAGAATTTCAGCTCAAGCCTACCTTCCTATTATTTTGCAATGAAAACAGTTACAGTGGAAGTCTAGATGCCATTTCAGTTTCTGCTGACTCCCAAAGGCAGCTCTGAGCAACTTACCTATTCTGTTCCATTTAATACATGTCTGTAGTCATAACAATGAAAAACAGCCCTTGAAGTTATTCCAAAAGGCAGATTTATCAGGATAGGTGACCAGTACTGGAGTTTCTCAAATGGTGAAACAAACAAAAAAGTAAAAACCCACAATCCTTGGATAAGGTTGAGATTAGGAATTTCTTTTTTATTGGCCACTAAATGTCCTAGCAAGTTTCTGACAAAAG